TTCAAACATTTCTGGGAAACGACCACGGGAGCGAGCAACGTCGCTGGACCGAAACCTTGGATCCGATCCTCGACCTGTGGATGCTGACAGTTCCGCTCATATGATTTCGCACACGGGATGGAGCGCTCGTCACTTCCCAGAGAATCTTTTCGTCGGGTGAAAGGCTCAACATCAAATGCCAGTCTCACGTGTGATTATGACTGAACTTTTTACAAGGGATATATATCGAATTCATCGGGCTAATAAATTTTAGTTTCGCACCCTAAAAAAAAGGCATTAGCTTTCAAGTTAGGCCTAAGAATGCGACATCGACGTTGATGTTTTAAAACCATCGATGTATTAACAGCATTTTTTTTAAATATCGATGTTTTGTTTGGGAATGAAAACTATCCGAGGATCACAATACTGTAAAAGTTAAAATATGAAATAATAACTGATGATACCACTATTATAGTTCATGTGTTGAAACCAACGGAACGCTGTTTGTACCTCCATCACCAAACTCTCTCATCCGAGATTACCTCTATTTTTGTATACTGTATTTCCTCTTTTATTCATTTCGCACATTTACAAGTAGACAACAAATTCGCTGTGAGCATAGGTTCTGTCCTTGCTTCTCGTATCCTTAATCAACGAATTGATAATCATGAACACTGACAAATTAAATTTAATTGCAAATTTTATTCAATGTTAGCGTTTACAAATGTAGCTCGAAAACATCGATGTTCAAAAACATCAATGGTCTTTAGTCGATGTATTATTAGGGAGTTTGTGCACTCTCCAAAGTTAAAGAACTTTCGATCTTCTGGGCATGCGCAGTTCAAGTTTCGCATCACTTTAGTGCATCAGCGCATGCGCAGAAGATCGATAGTTTTGTCCGCTATGGCGTGCACAAACACCATAATAACATCGAAGTTTTTATTTTGAATATCGATGTTTGCTAACATCGATGCTGTCTTATCGACGTCGCATCGCTAGTTCGGCCAAGCCCCGGTTCGCGCTCTCGCCGCGCCTGCGCCCGCCTGCCTTGGTCACGCGTGTTGATCGCTGCGGACGCACTTCCGGTCGTCGGTCGCCGCGTGCGAACACAGCGCAGGCTGAGAAGTCGCACTTGCCGGGTGGCGGAGGAGGGAGGGGGTGATCGGGCGAAGGGAGGGCGAGCGCCTGGTGCTTTACGACGCCTTTACGGCCCTCGCTCAGCCAAACGCCCAAATCTGCTCGCGCCGCGACACCCGCCAGGGCCTGCGGCGGCGGCGGACACGCCAGTGCGCTGGGCCGGGAGGCGAGGATGGAGGACGGCGGGAGGCTAGGTGGCGTCGATAAATTAGTAACGGGGGAGAGGTAGGTTGAGGTAGTGTTATGTTGCGTTACATAGGGGTAGGGGGTATTCGATTAATGATACGTAACACTGATTATTTTAATAAATTTTTTAAACTTTGATTGAAATACTTCTTTTTTTGAATTCTTATACCAAAATATTAAAATATGTGGATATCCAAATAATTTGTTTAGAAGTGTAAATAATTTAAATTATTATAAGTTGTTACAATATTTTTTCATCAATTTTTCGCAAATTAATCGCACAACAGTCCAATGGAAATGGAAATAATACAAAGGAAAAGACGATGAGAGGCAAGAAGAGTTAAAAAGAAAGAATGCCTACAGTTGGCATTACGTTATGAGTGCTATAATTCAGACATTTTACCTCCAGTTGATTCACAATATAAACAAATACAACTTGAAAGCCGTATAAAGCCGATCAATATTTCATTAGAGAAATGTGTTGTGTGTGGGGGGGGTTGAATTTATGGAATGCGGCCTTTTTGCAAGTACATTCCGGACGTGAGCGGCTGCTAGTGTGAACATAAGGCGAGAAGGACGGGAACACACGGGAGATCGTCGCAATAACTGCGCGTTGCGTTGCGTAGCACCAACGAAGGGAGGGACAGGAAGTCGTGCGCACACGGCGGCGGGAGCACGAAAACCGTGGACGTAAGTTACGCGAGGCGACCGGAAACGCCGGGGCCGGGGGCTGCGGAGCCGCTGCGCTCATCAGGGCCAAACTGCAGAGGCAGTTTCCACGGCAGCAAGCAGAGAAAAGCCGGAATTACGCAGGAGATAATATCTGCGCTTTACGTGAAGGGAGCAGCCAGAAAGGTCACATACGTTTCCTCAATGATAATAATAGAAACGTTAATAGAATAATAATAATAATAATAATAATAATAATACTGAGCACGTGTTCTTTAGTTAGAATATTTATGGGTCCCTAAATAAATATTTATGTTAAGAATTGTTTTACTGTTTAATGTATAAATTAATTTAAGTGTTCATACTTGTAGAATTAGCTCTTAAAATTAATTCGCTTGTAAAACTATTGTATTATGGAGATCATGCTTTGGTAGAAATACCTGTGTGACTCCTGAAACATGTACCAGAAAGCTGTGAAAGTAAACAATAATAATAATAATAATAATAATAATAATAATAATAATAATAATAATAATAATAATAATAATAATCCTGATGTTATTCCGCAGTTTTAAAATTTGTTATAAAAGTGAAAATACCTGATACGGGAACCCAACTTCAAACGATTCTGACATTTTTCATGCTATATTGTGGCGGTATCCTCTAGAAATGGCATAGAACGATTAACGCCTCATTTTTTAAACATACACAATTAGTGCCCCAAATGTGATTTTAAGGGCCTAGTAATGTGTGTTGTGATTTGCAAATGCGCCTGCTGTTTTCCTTACCGCATAATCTGTGAAATTAGAAAATGCCTTTTCTATATAAGTTTGTTGCATCTCTGAGGGATAATTCACTATCCATCTGTGTACTTTTGTGATGATGTGTCTAATATACAGTACAGATAAACTGCTAATGCGTATTGTATATAGAAGGAAGATAGGGGTTGAAAATAATATCCACGTTTTTATGTTGCATGACAATTATTAACCACTCGAATTCTTCGGAAAAATCATTTTTATTTGACAGCTAGTTTTCTATTTGTACCATACTCTATAATATTAATGTAAAAATTCACACCGACTACAGGCATTTGTACACCGTTCTCACACGCAAGTCATTTGAGTCATACGCCTACAAATTAGCAAAATGCATTAGCAAAAAACGTCCGTTTTCATGTAATTAAAATATAACATGCCGTTAATGCGAATTAAAATAAATTTAATTAAAAACATACCATTAATAATTCTCATAAATATGAGTTCTCTGTCGATGACAATCTCGGTGGCCCAACAACGAGAAACAATACCGAAACTTGAAATCCCTAGAATTTTTCCCGTTACTATCGTGACAATCTCACAACTCTTTCTCATTTTTTCTTCCAATTACTAGTATATAGTAGTTTTGTGATTTTTCCCAATGTTATGGAGATCTTGTAATCTTCATCATGTCAAATCATAATTTAATTTTCATTTATCAGTTTACGAACGAAATATTTAGATGTGCATTTTATCTTCTTAAAGCTGTAGGGAAAATGAAAACGCATTAAGAAGTGTTTGGACAAAATACATCCAATATTTTAATGTATTTCTCATGCTTTTACCGACATTTTCAATTGAGATCAACGTCAAATACCAAACGTTTACTCATAAAACGCATCACAAACGAAAACATTCACTGTCACATTAAAATTGTAGGAAATGCTATGACCTATGTGCAATGACTCTTTCTCCGACTTTACCTGACAGCTGGAAATGGCAAATGCGAGTAAGATCCGTTTCACGGCGCCTCTTTTTTGAACCGCGATTAAAAACGAGAAAGTGAAATGGTAATATCGCCACTTCACAGCAATAATCTCCACGGATCACGTGACGTGCATGGTCTGTGGGTAAGAGCAATTCTAAAGTGGACGGCGAGGGTACGCGACTTTACTCAGAACTGTGGAACAAAGCACAAGTATAATGACACGACTTCAAAGTGTGATTCCGTGGATATTAAATGTTTCTTTTATAAGTTGCTTTTTGTTTGCTTTCTTCTACAGGCAATTTATATTGACAGATCCGCACACTGTACCTGAGACATTTTCAAAATTTTCGAAAAAAAAATGCGGTTGATAGTGTAAAGGACGTAAGAGAATGATGTAGGTCTCATGTTCGTTAAAAACTCTTTGCATGTTTCTTAAAAAATTTTTGCAATTTTTCGAAAATTGCAGAAATATTAAAAAAATTGGCGTCTTCCTACAACTACAATTATGAACATAAATATTTTTCTCTTAATAAAATATGTTCCTTAAAGATAGATTTTGAAATAATGTCCGTATTGACTTTGAGTATTTTTCGCGTAATTTTGCGTGGTACTCCGGGCGAGACAGTAGGTACTTGGACAAAAGTTATGTTTATTATTATTATTATTATTATTATTATTATTATTATTATTATTATTATTATTATTATTATAATTATGCACGGGTTGCATTGCGGATAACATGTGGGAACAATTCCATAGGAGTAAAGTGTGTTGGTGCTTGTAAATAAACCACTAGATAAGAATAAAATATGCGACTTTAAGCATTACTACTTTTCATTTAAACTTTTTAATTATACGACACCAGGTTTGCAAGGTGTTCTTACATTCGCGGATCATCTCCGTTTCTACACTCGTCACACAATGACAGGTCGTTGATACGTTAATTGAATAAGATCTGAATATGATGTTTCACGTCAGGTGAACAGTGGTAGGAGATAACGTTCGAAGACTAGTGAACATGGCTGCATAATGAGAGGGAATTGGTAGTTAAAAATCGTGGTGATAGTTCAGAGAAACTACAGCACTTTGCGCTGAAATGGCGATGGTCGAACTGGGAAGATAACGTTTTGGTAGTAACGGTCGAATAGATTAAGAATTGACGTAATAACGTCAACGGCAAAGTGGATGGGACAGGCAGATACGAACAAGGAAGAGGCGGAGATATTGGAGATTAAAGGCGGCAGATGGAGAAGAGAGGCTCTTGCACTGCGGGCACCTGTAACCCTGCCGCAGGTGCTCCCTCGCCCACGAGCAACTCCTCGCTCCGAGGCTGCGAAGGGCGGCCAATGGCCCGGAAGCGAGATCGAGCGCAGGAAGAGCAATTTTGGATGTGGATAATGGTCGAGGCACGACACTGATTTGGAGTAATCGATAACTATAATATGTTGCGGCGAAGCAGATCGTATCAAGAGCAATATTTCTGCCGGTACTTTCATCTTGTTCTTTAATCAAATTTACGACGAAATTATTATGACGATCACGAAAACAGTTTAGATACAAGATGCACTTCATAAACAGAAGTGGAATACTTTATATCGGACCTTCTGAGATAAACGCGAACGAGAATTATAATTAGACAACAGTTAAAACATATTCGTTATTTTTCTTCGCATTGTGAGAATTTCAGTCCGTATTAGATACAAGCTTGGAAAGTAATTCAGGTTTTTTTAAACTTATTTTCCAGTATAATAAGTTGTAGTGTCTTTCAGAGCGCAGAATTCTCTTAAGTGGTCTTTCCAGGTCTTTCGAGGCAGAAACTTCTCTAAACCATAAAAAGAATCTACTTTAAAAGCAGAAGCTATTCAACAATTATTAAAATTTAAATTAGACATGGTTGCGCGATGAACGAATATTTATTTCCACGGAAACAAATTCACTGGCGGCATTAGAGAGCTCAGGGCTGCTTGCGAGCTCGTTGTCTGTCAAAACATCGCCCGCCCGCCCGTTCCACCCCAGCGTGACTAAGACGCTAATGCATGTAAGCAAAGAGTCTCCTTTTAAACAGCGTTTTTGTTTCCCCGGCCTCGCCCTTGCGCTCGCCGGCGCTGACGTCAGCGGCGCTTCGCGACGCGCTCCGGGGCGACCGGAAGGCGGCGCGGGAGCGCTTCCGGCGTCGGCAGCCGGCCGTGGCGCTTCGCACCTGTCCCCCCCCCCCACCCTGTCCCTCCGCGCCCCGCGCACGCGCCCTGCGGAACACCGCTAATGGAGGCCGCGCCGCTCCCCGGCTTTAAAGAGCTCGAGAAGGGCTTGCCTACGTGGGCGGCGTTCGAAAGGGTACGCCACGCACCGGCTGCGTGTGGAGGAGGCAGGTAAGAGGAAAGATAGGTGAGAGTGGAGCCACCAAGTGGAAATCGAAGGGAGAGAGAAAAAAGAGCGTGAGAGGAGAGGGAAAGGGAGAGAATGAAAGGAGGGAGGGAAGAGAGGAGGAAGGAGGGTAGGAAAGGAGAAGAGAAACGAGGTGGGAGAGAAAATATAACAAGAAAGAAAGAGAATACGTTTTGATTGCAGTTGATGACGAAAACATTTAAAATACAGTATATATAAATGCAGAGAAATAATAGAAAAGACACTGTAGAAGAGAGAGAAAGGGAAAGGTGGGAGAAACGGAGAGGTGCATGCGAGACAGAGCATCGACAAGAGTTTAGTCGTCAGGAGAAGACCGGCTTCAAATACGTACAAGAAAGGAGAACACATGCGAGGAGAGAATTCCGTCCGCTCCCTGGGGAGCCGCTGACGTGAGACGCGACCGAGCGCCCGCGGCGCCGTGTTGCCTGAAGGCGCGCGGCGGCTGACGCAGCTCCGTAAACACACGCGGCGCGCGGGAGGCGGAGGGGTATTGATTGGGGGCATCGTTGAATGCGAGGCCTTGGGGGGTCGGATAAGAGAAGAACGCATTCGCAGGCTACGTAGACACCATTAGCGAAGCCTTAAGAGAGAATCGTCGAGGGCTTTCCATTGAAAACACACCCTCTCTTGCGTTCTTTCTATACCAAACGCGAATGAAAATTGACGAGACATGACTTTAGTAGAGGCTATTTCTCATCTTGCGGTCCCGCGCTACTTTTTACCAATGTATACTCGGCCAGTAAGGAATTTTTATGGTTATCTTTTTCCTTGCGATGTATTCTATGTTGTCTCAGCACATTTTACATAGAAAATAAGAAATCTCTAACAATATAATTTCAATTTTATATTTCGCAGACGCGACATTTCATTTGGAGAAATTGTAACTAAAATATTGAAAACCCATCCAGAGAGAAATTGCTGCCATGTGCGTCCTGAATTCCGACGATTCTAGGGTAAGTATCTCCGCGAGCTGCATTTTAAAATAATCTCGAAACTAGTTGAACAGATGATGTCAAATAGATCGAAAAACCTCATCCCCTCAACAGACTAAGACTGCGGCATTCCCGCGATTATTCATGGATGATGCTAATTGATAGGAAAACCTCTACTCTCGACTCCTGCACGACACCAGGGCACGGATTCAAATGACTTAAAAATTCTTTGAAAATGACTTCAAAAATTACTCTTAAAAAGAAAATGGGCTATAAAATTACTTAAAAATAAGCGCAAAATGACCCATTTTTTAAAAAATACTCAAACTATGTGTGGAAATGTTTAAATATTCAATGTATTTTACAATATTAATGAAAATATATTGATATAAAATTTTATTTAATATAAAGTATTTCTTTTAGGAGGAAATGTAATCCTTCGCTCCGATATTTCACCCGCCAGTTTTAAAAGGTCGGGGAAGTTACCGAAGATCCGTGTAATTTTGAGAGTTCCAAAAAACAGAGTCCACTGCAGTAATGAATTTCGTCATGAACCGATTATAAAATATAATCTTTGTTCAAGTGTGTCATTGTAAATTCATGAAACGTTCATTAACAAAAAGCACGAAAAGGAAACAAAATGCGTAAAAATGACAATGACGCATAAGTTAAAAAAACCTACTAAAAATTAAAAAATGACAGAAAGAGACAAACAAATGACCCAATAATTATACATTTCTATCATCTGTATGTCGTGATAAACATTCATTTACAAGTTTCGAATATAAAGCACCAATGAAAAGGTGACATGTCATCAGAATCCAGCCCTGATAATCACTTTCTTCACCACATCAGCAAGTAGATGGCTCGTCCCCAGGCCCCGTCGCAGATCCCACGCGTGGCCGCTTTCGGTTGTCTGCTCTCGTGGAGATAACCCCCACAATCACCTCCGCAATAAGGAATAACAGCGCCCGGGGCGTTGCGGCGGGGGCGAGAGCCCGGCCTTATCGGCGCCGATCCCGGCAAACACCGCCACCCGGCGCGGCGCTGATGCAAGTATCGATCGCCCGTGTTTAACTCGCCGCGACACGCATGGCTTGCACAATACGCACCGCTGTATCCATGGGGACCGACGTCGGTTAGTGAATTACTTCTCGGGCGAAACTTTCCTTCGGCGTGCAGATTAAAACAACGGCAATAGCACGTGCTGGGAGAATGAATGCGTCATAAACGCAGAAATTCAAATGTATCAGGGCTACATCAAAAAATCATAAAGATATTTTAAAACCTCTTTCATGTTCATGAAACATAAAAAATAAATAAAAAGAGTTTTAATACTTTGTGAAAAGAAGTTTCCTCAATATACAGCAATTCATAACGAAACAGCGTTTGAAGAAGGTTATTATTTTATTGATATCGAACTACGTAATTGTTCACGACGTCAGCGCGGGTATTATTTGACCTTGGGTAGTAGCATATTCATGTATTGTCCTTTCACATAACATTCAACTTAATATCCATTTCTTACAGACAAATTCACATCTCTTATTGTTTTATTGTCAGTAGGCAATAACGCTTTACTGTTCATTCTATAGGCACCACGTATAACATTTTACTGTCACCACTTACAAAATAAAATACATCAACTTAACTATGATTTTATAAATACGGGAGTAATATCTTACCACAGAAAGGATAGGTCCGGTTTCTTACACGTCGTTCTGATTTACACATGGTCTTACCTGTAAGAAAAAGAAAGAGCAATTAATTTTCAATAATAAATCAAAACATTAATATTTTATTATAAAAATATTGATCCGTGTTTATTATATTAGAATAAGAGTTCGCTGATTATTAGTATCAATGACCTTTCTCAATCATTAAATACCGGCAAATATATTGGCAGTGTGAACAATGTTTTATAGATCGCTAAGAAAACTAGCAATGAAACGTAAATTTTCTTGAACGGACTGTAGTAGGTTTCATTTCCCCAAAGCTCCATTCACTGAGCAGACAGCCCTCATGTTGGAATTGTTTAATTCCGTGTAAACCATTTTAGTCGTTTTCTCTTACGACATTAATTTAACTTCCCTCGTTGTTCGTGCGAATTTTCGACGCAAATCTACGTACGAACCGTTCCCTGGCAGCAGCAAACATTGCCAAAAACTAAACGATTCGACAAGCTCTCATTTCTAGAACACTAATTTTAATCCCCTGTTTTCGTCTCTCAGTTTTTGACCTTTTTTTTCTGGAACAGATCTGTCTAAATTTCCTCGACTGTCAAGCCAAGCGAGCTTAACGGAACCCTACGACATTCATGACGTGACTCTGACTCGCTTCAGGTAGCTCAAACACTTTTAATTACCTTTTATCCTAATTATGACTTCAAGTGAAGATTTTAATGAAAGTCAGGTTCTTGTGTCATGAAGTAATGAATTCTATTTTACATTTAGTAATATAATTGCTTTCATATACAAATTCATTCTCTTGATAAAAAAAATTGTGTGTCAAGTTCTGTAAAGAGAAAATGGTTTTACAAAATTATTTTACCAATATTATAACGTTTAAACCAACATTATAACAATTAAAATTATCAATTTCAACGAACACAAGATAAACGATTGGGAAATAATCCACATAAATAACATTATGAATAAGTCACGACCAGCGACTCGTAAAATGTGGAGCGACAGGTCCACAAACATGCATTAAGTCCATGTTTCATTTATTTTTATTTCGACTCCTTAAGATATTTCAAACTTTCAACAAATACCTCAAGGATATATCAAAAGAAAGGATTGACTCAAATAATACCAAAAAAAAGATAATAATTACCTAACAACATGTTAAATCTTAGGAAATAACCACTTCAAAATGCATTATATTAATTTGTCTTTCGTATGTGGTCGTCTGTTACGAATACACCTCAAATAGCAAGAGCAAAGACAACTCATTTTATTTTCACAACGGGAAGCGAAGGGATTTCGCGGGTGGAGGTGGGGGTGGCTATTCCACAAGGAGTGTCTGCGGCGACCGCCAGGCAAAAGATCAAGGGCACCGCTCGCCCACCCCTAGAGG